CCAAGTACAAAATGCATAATAATATATCACAGGCCAATGCATAAATCGTATTGGACCATATTGAATTACTTTAGCACGCGCATCACTTTGATTTTACATTTCTACTTGATTAAAGTTGTGAATTCTGTTGGGATTGTGGATCAGTATGGAAATTAAGGGTAAAGACAACTAACGCTCTCTTTTGGAAGAATGAGAAGAGCCGGTTAAAAATCTTCGGCCAAGTAAAAATCCCACAAATATATATGTATAGAGAGAGAATTGGGATCATATTAGTAAAGAAGATATTGACAAAAATGATAATAAATCTAAATCATTGGATATGAATGGTCAAGATACAGTCAAAGCTTAATAAATAAAGTCAAACTTAAACCATTCTCTTATTTCTTTTATTGAGCACCATTCTCACTTGAACCAAATCATATATATATATATATATATATGATTGAGATCCAGAGAGAAAGGTCTTAGTGAAAGAAATAAGAATACATCAAAGCCATTAGATTGAATGATCCAACGACTTAAAAAAATTCAAAACTATACATTCATTAAGTGTATTTTGGTAATTTTTCACACCACGCACATAAAGGTGGACCCCACACCACATTAAATCTCCTGCCAACTGCCAACCACCAAATGGTCGATCACCCTAGTCCACCCCACTCCACGCACACCACTCTCTCTCTCTCTCACTCTCTCTCTCACCCTCTCTCTATCTCTCTCACTCTCTCACACACACACACAATACACACTGTCACACTTGCACTCACCGCCGGTAACGCTCGACCGTCGACCCGCCGCCAAATGCCTCATCCAACGTTCTTCGAAGCCGTCGCCGCCCTCCTCCGCCGTCGATCTCAAAAACTGCCGCCTCCGACAGAAATCTAACCACCGAAACAAAGCCTGTCGGTTGCAGTCGATCCCGATCAATGAGACAGACGAACAAGGATGACTCTACTCGATCGGCCACAATCAAGAACGCCTTTGCAGACCAATCGACACCACCCGCCCGCGTCTGGCCACTCCACCCTGTTAAAATCAAACTCGACGTCCGACTATCCGACTTCCTCCTTGACGACAGCATCCGACAAATGCTACAAGCACGCAGCGGGTTGTTGAAATCTAAAAATCAGAGAACATGAAGATTGGGCTGGGTGATTGTTTGAGAATTTGATAATCTATAGGGACTCAACTGCAATTTCAGGTGTTTTTTTTCTAAATTTGATAATTGGTAAGGGCTTATTGGAAATTTTAATAAATTTAATTATATTTCAATTTCACCCCTGGTCTAAATCTGAATATATGGAAAGCTAATAAAAAATATAATTTTTATATATTTTATGTACATATATATTAAATAATAAATAAAAATAAAAAATAATATAAAATATTAAAATAATATAAAAATAATAACAAATAAATTTTTATAATATAAATAATAGATTGTTTTGATTATTTCAACTTGATTTTAGTTCTGATATGCACATAAAAAAGTCCACGATGCCGAATGCACAATGCTATTAAACGAGATACAATTATTGATTATCATATTGCACAATAGTGTCAAATTGAATGCACATTAATACGTACGAAGATGAACATTATCGTAAAAATATTCATTTTCACAAATATAAACTTTTGACTAATGCGATATGATATCAATTTATAAGTAATAAATTAATTCTATTATTTAAGTTAATTCATTAAACCCCATCGAATAAATAAAGTAAATTCAGTTAATAATTTATTTCAATTATTTACGTCAATTCGGATAACTAGGTTAATTGATAGTTTAAATTTATACATTAAAAAATTTATACTAAGGCTGCACAATACTTTTAAACGAGATGGACAGTATGATCGGTATTTCGTACATTATATTTTTCAATAAAAAATATAATATAAAAATAATAACATACTAAATATAATTTTGATATAAATAATAAATTATTTTAATTATTTAGGATAATTCAATTACCGACCGAATAAACCAAACAATTCAGTTCCGTTCAATTTAATTTTGGACAAAAAATTCGTTCGAATCAATATGCAAAATACCGACCGGCACCGTGCACCGTTGTGTTAGAAGATTCGCACACTAATAACTGCTAGATTGCACATTATATTTTGTTTATATAGAATATTACATTTCTTAATAAAAGTAATATAAATTATTAAATCCAAAATTACAATACTAAATATGTTTTTATAATACAAATAATATTTTTTTGCTATTATTCCGGTTTCGACATCCTCTCGGTTGAGTAAACCAAACCGACCGATGATCTGACTTCTTTTTTTTCTATTGTTCCGGTTTCAACATCCTTTTGGTCGAGTAAACCAAACCGACCGATGATCCGACCAATTAATAACTATGTAATTTTGTAAAAATGTACAGTTTTTATAATGTGCTCATAAATTCATGATATCGTGCATATAGTGTATTGTTAATGTGCAATATATTGAACTTTTGATAAATTACAAAATCATCACACTAATAAAATACAATCTAATAAAAGTTCTGAATTTGCGCCAAAACCCCCTACAAGTTGTCTAATTTTCATCACAAAGCCCCAACATCCAAAAAAAAAAAAGATAAGAAAAGAAAAAATTTGAAATCACACACATGTCGGCTGCAGCCGGCAACCGGACGCCCGCCTCTGTCAACCCCATCGCCCAGCCGTCTTATCCGGCCAGAGCCGCCGCCGTGGCCTCGTAACCTGAAAACGAGTCTCAGTCACGGCAAGGAGCTGTGGCCGTGAATGTCGGGCCCCGCTCGCCATCGACCACCACATCGCACGACCGTCTTGTCCGACCAGAGTCGCCGCCGCCGTGACGTCACAGACTGGAAACAGGTCCCAGTTGCTTAGGGATGTCAATAAAACCCGCAGGGTCGGGTTACCCACGGGTTACCCGCATTTTTAGGTCGGGTAAACCCGGTATGATCGGGTTTCGGGTCGGGTTCGGGTAGACTCATGCTACCCGAACTTCGGGTCGGGTCGAGTTCGAGTATGGTATAAAAACCCATTACCCGACCCGATTACCCTACCCGTTTACCCGCAACAATCAATCATACACACACACACACATATATATATATGTATATATGTCATATGATAAATATATATTAAATTATTTATTATTATTTTGATTAATGGTTTAAATATTATTTAATTTTTCTGATTTTTTATCGAATTTTTTAGTTGTACAATATAAAATTTAAATACTTGATTTTTAAATGTTATATTATTAAATAGACTATAAAAAAATAAATAATTATATCTTAATATTTATTCCAAATATAATATAGAATTTTCTTATAGTCATTTATTGTCAACCTTAGTTAATGAATTGTTAGTTACATTATATATAATTGTGAAATTATTTTGTTTATATTTTTTACCCGTTTACCCGATGAAGACCCGATAACCCGTTGGGTAATACCCGAACCCGAAGTTCACTAACCGGGTAACGGGTTGGGTAAATTGCATGTGGGTCGGGTTCGTGTTTGCCAAAACTTGCACCGACCCGACCCATTTACATTCCTACAGTTGCTGGCGAGGAGCTGTTGTTTTGAATGTCGGACTCGTCGTGGCGCTCGACAGCATAATGGCCGCGTCGGACTGCGACCGTCTGGCTGACAGAGGCGGCCGTGAACGCCGGGACCGTCGTGGTGCTCGACGGCATGGTGGCCCGCCGGGAGATGGCGTTGGAGCCGGGTATTGCGGTGGCAGTTTGCTGTGTGAAGGCACCTGTGAGGTCTGGTTGCGACAGAGCTCTTGGTGGTGGCCGCCGTGTTTGGTGTGTGTGTGTATGTGTGAGTGTGTGCGCGCGCACATCCGTATTGATTGTGATAATGAGAGAGATGGTGATGAAAGAGAAATGGGTTGTCAATTGGTGAGTGGGTCGCACGTAATATATGTGTATTAACCAAGTTACCCTTAATTATTGGTCAAATGCACAGATCTATCATTATATAAAAAGAATAATCTTTTTACAAATTTAGAAACATTTTCCCGCCAAAATCATTAAATATATCCTACATATAGTAATTGTTGGACAAATCTAAATAGGCAAAAAAAAAAAAAAATCGGCTCATTAATTGTGTAAAGATTTATTTTTCTTTTTCCTGTTTTTTAGTTTATCAAAACCGTTGTTTGACGATAAATATTTGTTTTTCTTTTTCCTATTTTTAGTATAAATCTACACGAGCTTATCTCTTCTGTTATAAATATTTTTAGCACATGTCTCACGTGTTTAAAAAATCTCATCTCTTATCTATACAGATTTGAAAAAATTAAATAAAATAGAAACCAATTAATAATTACTACTAGAAATCCATTATCTTTAAAAGAAAAAATAAAATAAAATAGAAACCAATTCATAATTACTAATAGAAATCCATTATCTACTTTAAGAAGCTAATTTTTATCGGTCTAATTACTAATATTTTTACAAATATTATAAGCTAACCATACAAAAAAGTATAATAATAATTTTGAAATAGTGTGTAATCAAATTTTTTTTATATTCTCTAATACAAAATAATTTTACCCCAAATCTTTAATTTATAATTATTAAGTATCTTTAATTTATAATAATTTTTTTTCTTTCTCTTTTTAAATAGGATCAATAGTAGTTTCAACTTCCGCCGTTGAATGACTCAAACTCGAAGTCTATTATAATATTATTAATTTAATTTTGTTCCCGTGCATCGCACGGGGTACACACTAGTTTGATATCAATTAATTACCATATTATCATTAATGATGGACATAGTTTGACTTTATCATAACTATTGATATGATTGATCACATGGTCTAAATTTATTATTATTTTTTTCACTATCTTCTTTTCTCATTGATTTCAATTCTATACATATATAGATTATTGGAAAATAAGAATTATGAAATATAAAAAATTAAACAGGGGTTGTCAAAAAATCGTGCAATGAATGTGCTCGCGTGCATTTACGGCATAAAGCTTCAAATAAAAAGAGTCCCCTGTGATCTCTGTTTCCACTGTATTTACAGTAGCGTCCACACAAACACACACTGCACACGCACACACCACACTTATATTGTTCTCTCTCCTCTGCGGTTGTCTGCAAGATTCAGAATAAAATAAAGCAGACAAGTTCATCAGTATTTTCAGTCCATGCCAGTACCACCACACACACACCCAAAGGCCAAAGGTAAACACAAACACACACCCCATTTTATATATTAGGAGAGAGAAAGGTGCGATCTTTGAGATTTGCGAGGGTTAAAGAGGAGGATCTTTGAAAAATCAGGAGTAATTATGTCAAAGGCGGCGGAAAATTTAAGGCCCCCTCCCCCTTTTAATGGCGGGTTGGTTGTTGGGCTTATAATCTGTCCAACATTAATGGCGTCACGTCACTAGCATTTTCATCACCCTAAATATAATGTAGGGAAAAAGACAAACGAGAGAATATGTTGTAATAAGAGTGGAAATTCTTTATTTCTTTGTATTTTTCCTCGGTTTTAATTTCTATTTGGCTCGATTGTCGAGGCGTTTTCTTGAGGTGGGGGTGGCTGAAGAGAATTTTCTGCCCTAGGATTTATTTGTATTTTTCTTTTTAACTTGTTTTGCTGTTTGGTGCATATTACTGTGCTATAGAGAGCTGAGTTAATTGGTGACGGTATAAAACGGGATAAAGTGATAAAAAGATCCAATCTTTCGTGTGTTTAAGTAGCAGAGAACGAGTTGCGGTGATTTTCCCCCACACTTTCTGCAGCTTATTGCTTTGTTTATGAGTCTTATGTGATTCTTGGTGGTGGGTTGGAGTTTGAAGAATACAAAGCATTTCGTGTGAAGGATTAAAATTTAAAAAGAACATAAACATGAAAGTTATGAAGTTGGGCTCGAAGCCTGATGCTTTTCAAGCTGATGGGAGCTGTGTGAGGTAAGTTTATCTCTGTTTTCGTCTATGTTTTCGTTTTCTTTTTAAACCTCTTATTTATCTTCGTTCGTTCCTTCGTTTTTAGTTATTAATGTTAAAAATATATTTTGTAATCACTGTAAGAATTATGCAGTTATGCTTGCTGTCAAGTTCTTGTCCTCTCTGTACTCTGGCAATGTAGTTTGTTGCACATACGATCTGGATTACCGCTTTCTGAATAAAGGGGAATGTCTACAGCAGTACAGCATGTTATTTGATACCTTTTCTTTAGTGTTTTTGTATTTCATTTTCCTACTTCCTAGAAGAAATATTTCTTGGTCCATGCTGTTTGGTACCGAACATACTCATTTGTTTAATGTTTCTTTTCTTTTCTTTTCTTTTTTCCAAATACTTCTTTTGTGTTCTCTTTGTGCCTAAGAGGGTTCTTAGGAACTGATTTTTATGTGATTGATTAGTCCAAAATTGTTAAACCCGAACATTGAGCCTTGATTTAGGTAATCTATAAACCACAACTGTTTTTTGAGTTTACAATAGTTCACTTTTAATCATATAAGACTTAATTTCTTTACCTACCACAATTTGATTAAGGCCCCCCATCGAGACTGTAAAGTATGGTTCCCAGTTGGGCTTATGATTTAAGTAATACTCCTTTTTAATTGAAGTATTAGAATAACTTCAAAGGCTTATAGTAATATGATGATGATTGCCTTCTTTTTTCCATGTACTTTATTCTCCTTTTGTGGTCCCTTATTTAGCTCATCCATGTAATTTAACTTTGATTTCTTTTTGCATTACAGTGGATTAAGGTCAATTAACTTGCCAAAAGTTTGTATAATGTGTCTCCATAATGACAAAAAAATGAAAAGAAAATATTTTTAAACATTCTTCTTCTTCTTCTTCTTCATGTTTTGACTGTTTGTCCACTGATTGACATGCAGATACATATCATCTGAATTGCCTACTGATGTCGTTATAAATGTCGACGACATGAAGTTTCATCTCCATAAGGTGACAGCAATTTTTTACAACAAAGATTTTTTAAATTTAATTTTACTGTCAGCTTAAATTCTCGGATTTCCTGCTACAGTTTCCTCTCCTGTCCAAAAGCAGTAAGCTACAAAAACTCGTCTCAAAAGCCAACGAAGAAAATTCTGCCGAAATCCAGCTACCCAATTTCCCAGGTGGGCCCACGGCATTTGAGATCTGTGCAAAATTCTGTTACGGCATAACAGTTACTCTCAATCCCTACAATCTGGTTTCGGCACGTTGTGCAGCCGAGTATCTCGAGATGACTGAGGACATCGAGAAGGGAAATCTAATCAAGAAAATCGAAATATTTCTCAATTCGAGCATTTTGCGCAGCTGGAAAGATTCCATCATTGTCCTTCAAACTGCAAAAGCACTTATGCCCTTGTCCGAGAATCTAAAAGTTGTGAACCGATGTGTGGAATCTATTGCATGCAAAATCTCGGTCGACCCCTCGTTAATCACTTGGTCTTACACGTACAATCGAAAGTTAGCAACATCAGATCAAATAATATCAGAAAAAACAGAATTTGCTCCAAAGGATTGGTGGATTGAGGACATATGTGAGCTGGACATTGACCTGTACAAAAAGGTTATGGTTGGTATAAAATCCAAAGGCCGAGTTCCTAGTGGCTTAATTGGCGAAGCATTAAAAACGTATGCCGTTAGGTGGCTGCCGGATTCTGTTGATTTGTTGTTATCCGAAGATCAGATACAGATAAATAAATCGTTGGTCGAGACCATTATTTGTCTCCTGCCTTCTGATAAAGGTATAATCAGCTGTTCGTGCAGTTTTTTGCTGAAACTGCTTAAAGTTGCGATTTTGATCGGGGCAGATGATTCGTACAGGGATGATTTGATCAAGATTGTCGGTATGAAACTTGACGAGGCTTGTGTTAGTGATCTTCTCATCCCTGGAAATTCCCAGAATAATACGATTTACGATGTTGACCTTGTACAGAGGCTCGTGGACGAGTTTGTGAAAAACGAAAACGGTAAAAGGGATTTAAAAAATGTCGAGGAAAAAAATGAGTGCGATTTTGTCTTGGGGAACGGATCGTGGCTGAGAGCTGGAAAAGTGGTTGACGGTTATCTTTCTGTAGTTGCATCTGATCCGAATCTAACGGTCGCGAGTTTTGTTAAGTTGGCTGAGTCAGTTCCCGAGTCAGCTAGGCCTATTCACGATGTGTTGTATGGCGCCATCGATATTTATTTGAAGG